TCACACCACGTGAAAGTGAATCCTGAGCGGTGAACTTATTTTCGGCAGCCGAAATTTCGGTGCATCTCTAATTATTGGCAACATCAGAAATTTATAATATATAATAGATGCTTTTTTGAACATTTTAACTATTTAAAAATATAAAAAAATGATTTTTTTACACGGCACCCCTGCTCTCGACAGACGGCACCCCGGCTGGGAAACACTGATCTAGCCCATCTCTTTCTAACGAACACTCATTCTCCCTTCATACGTTCTGACTGTCCCTGCTCATCTCCATTTTTTTCCACCAGAAAGAGAATTTCATCACTGGCTGGTCTTTCAGTGCCAACCATTTAAGGGCTCAACAACCATAAAAAAGTGGATTTGCAAAACTTCGAACAAGTCTGTCCAACTGGATAACTAAATGTCTCTATGCAGTACAAATGGCACAAAACTTGTAAAATTGTGGTCCATTTCCAGTTTCTTAAATTCCTAATGGTATTTTATTAAAGGGGTCCTGTTATGCTTTTTCACTTTTTTAATTTTAGTCAGTGTGTAGTGTGTATGTTTGGGCATAAAAAAGATCTAGAAAGTTACAAATCTCAAAGTCCACTCCAAAGGGAGATATTTAGTTTTTAAAAAATCCCTTTTCAAGAACTACAATGAACGGCTCGTTTGGACTACAGCGTTTGCTTTCCGGGCTTTGTGATATCACAAAGCGGCCCATTCGAATATCATTTAAAAATAATTCCCGCCTACAGAAATTCGAATGGTTGGGGGGTGGGGAGGGGCGAGGTTGTGGTTAGAACGCTTGGTCGAGTGAGTGCATCAGACAAGACGACGAAGAAGAACTGCTGTGCTGTAGCTTTAAATTTTCGGCAGGTCTAGAACAATTCTTACAAGTACAACACGACGTAGCTGGGCACCGCGGACAGATGGCGAACGGCACCGCCGGTGTGCCTACACTCATAGAAAATAATGTATTTGAATTTTAAAGATGTGACGTGAAGCTGCGCTTCTCGTCCTGTGCGTGACCGCCTGAAACGCTGTTTTTTTTCACCTCCGTGCCCAAACATCTTTGTTTGGGCTTCCGAAAGCGGTTGATGTCAGGAAACAGTGGTTGCAGTTTATTTTTTAACTCGGTTCCTGAGCATTATAACCCCAATTTGCTATTGTAACCCCAATTTGTTATTGTGTGCTGCGCATTTTACTGAGGACAGCTTCCACAACACGAGGGAGTACAGTGCCGGATTCGCGAAAAAGCTTTTGTTGAAAGACGGAGCAAGGGGCGTGGCAGTACTGAAACACCGTCTAGGCTGTTCGCCAATCACAACGCACTGGGACAGCTAACCAATCACAGCACATTTTGTTTTTCGGAAGGCGGACCTTCATCAAAGCCGGAACTAATCGAGCCGTTTGTGCCAGGCTGGGGAGAAAAGTATTGTAATAATGTAAATTATGTGAAAAATAATGCGGTTTTCGAACCACCAAGCATGAGAGCATGTTCTAGTACACCCCCAATACAAAATCAAGACTTTGTAAAAGAGCATAATAGGACCCCTTTAAACATTTTGATCTACTGCTATATTTTGTGACTTAAAACTTTAAAATCATTATGTAAATTATCTATTTTACTTGTCTAAAATCTGGAAGTCCTGCATACTGGTAATTTTTTGGTGAATAGTCAAGACTGTGCTGGTTCACCAGAACTAACTAGTCCATACGAGCATGGAAATTTAAGTTGGGTTTAACAAAAGACAGAAAGAAAAGAGAGAACAGTAGACAAAAGCAGGAAAAGGAAAAGGAAAAGGAAAAAAATAAAAAATAAATAAGAAATGGAGAAAAGGTGTCTTCACTTCATGCCAAACCTTTATAAGTAGCTTGCCCTTCAGGGAGTTCGGACTGGGGAGCTGCTTTGGGTCTTTGTTCAGAGCCTCCACCACATCCAGCTTGTCTCCGAAGATCTCTTTCAGGTGCTGAGCTATCTTCTTCTGCTGCTGAATGCTGCAGTGATTCTCTATGGACAGGATCACAGGGAACCTGACGCAGCAGGAGACAGAAGAGAGAAAGGATGAGGGTGACAGTAATCACAAACCAGGGAACAGCTAGAACAGTCAGCAGTTGCTCCATGCCTCCAGAGCCTTCCCCCGACATTAACCTTTTATCCGTATTTCTTTCATCTTGACTCATCTTCACTGTCATGTGCTCTCTCTCTCTCTTTTGCCATCTCACTCTTTTGACTATCTCTTTTTTTTACTTTCCCTTGCCGCATGCTGTCTGGCTGTTCTATTTACTTCATCTGCACACTCAAACAAACACACTTGACTTTGGGTTCTATTCTCACTCATAGTCTGAGATCTCAACACTGAATATTCTGCTCTAACAAGGTGTTTCCAAAAGCATGCAAGAAAACCACACATTTTACAATGCAAAACTATTTCTCTGTGCCTTGTTTACCAATAAATCTAGCAATACATCCATAAATCATGATAAATTTACTTGAAAAGTAATAAATATTAAGATATTATACATACCTGCAGTAGATATTGTTTTCAGAGAATAAATACTTGTTGAATTAAGTTCTTTTTTTTTACCCCACTGCAAATTGTTTAAGGTTTTATTTAAGTAATTAAATAATTCCTTATCAATTTTGCTTATCCAATAAATTTACCCTGTTTTAATGATGTTTAGATATTTTACCGTAAAAGGGTTCTGACACATTTGGTTAATTAACCTTTTAAGTACAGATATAAGACTACTACACTTCTATATTACTGAAGACAAATATTGTATCTATAATTGAAATCTAGCAATTAAATATTTTAAAGCAGAACCTAAATGTATAAATAAAACAAATAAATACATACATGCATACAATATTAATTATATACATTTCTAAACTTTTTTTTAATTACATTTTCAAGCTTGGAAATAAAACAATTTCCAGACATTTTCAGGTCTTCCTTCTATGAACAAACAAGACAAAAACACTCATTAAGAAAAATATGTGTTGTGAATTTGATGGCTGCATGTGATACATAAAAGGGTGACCACAGAAATTTCAGTGTAGAAAACAATTATTAATAAATAATAATAATAATAATAATAATAATAATGTTGTGCTCTGTGAAAAAGACAGAATTAGATTCAGACAAGCTATACCTGAATGTCAGATACCTAGGAATCAGGAAAACCCTCTAGGTTTAAATAGCCCTACATTATGAACAACATTCCTCTCACATACACACATACACTCACCATGAAAAAATGCTCTGAAAGAGGGAAGTGGAAAGATATAAAGATGCCCTGTAGGGCTACAGTGATAGCAATGCTGTATCAGCAAGTGTCAGGGGATTTGGATAGTGTAATTTGCATGTGATGTGCATGTGCTAAAAGGCTCATTTGCTCCATTATGTTGAGCCATTAGCTGAAGCAGGTGGCAGTTTAATGATAAAAACCATTACAGAAACAGACAGGTAGCTTTCTAGGAGCATCCAGGCACTGGTATGGTACAATTATTACTGTACTTATCCTCATGGTGATACACAAAACAATTTTCCACAACAAATTAAATATATAGTTTAGTCATGCACCTCACTGGATGCCTTGTCTGGTAATAGTAAGACAAAGCAACCACAGGGGCTGCAAGTCCATCTGAATTGTTTTTAAATTAACAGTCTATTACAATGGAAAACAGACAAAGATGAACCCACATGACATTCCCTTGAGAAGATGATTACTGAAATATGCAGTATTTTTAGGGGGCACTAAGCAATTTTGTATTCTGAAGCTATATTGTAATGTTTAATGGAAAACTAGCTTACTGCTTGCTGCATATTATATATTATAGTACTATTTTTTTTTTAAGTATTATGTAAGGTGATATGCAATATGTGTTCAAT